TTTGTTTTTAAAATTATTTTAGTTTTGTAGACACATAAAGATATGCTGCTATAAATGACGCTTTTTAAATCATTCTTAAAACAATAAAGCTGAGTTCTAGGGTACAACTAGCTTAAACCTAATAAGTTTTATTGCTGTGAAATGAGAATTAACACGTAGCATTTTTTGAAGGGTTCAAAAGCATGTCAAGCTCTGTTCACAACCTTCACCATTTTATGATCAGGAACCTCATGCAGATTTTGCATTCTGAATTTGCTCCAATTCATTGTTTAAATCTGAAGCAACATCTGTAAATAGTAGGTCCCAGGTCCAACAGGAATCAGGCTGTAAAATTTTGATTTTTTTTACAATCCTATAAATACATGCTGGAGTGTGTTCAGAATGAAACTGACTTACCTCTTTAACATCAGCCTCTAAATTAAGACGCTTTGTCAACAGCCGCAGATTCATGTCATCAAGAGTTGCAAATGCAGCATGTTTGAAAAGGTCAGAATCAAGTTCTTTGTACGTAGCAACTCTGTTTATAATAACACTACAAACAAAACCCCCCCAAATAAGGATTAAGTTTTTTTTTAAATATTTGCTTTTTTTTCTGTGTCTTGACTTTTAAAAAATTATAAAAAAGGAAATTTGCTTCTCCAAAGAGTACTTCAACTCCCTACATCATCACATATTAATGGTTGTTAGGTAAATATCATTATTTTGCTTACCTGGGAGCTTTTGCTATTTGGGATGTTAATTCATCTTCTTGCAAATCATCTAAATCCGGTATAACTGGAATATCTGGTGACAAAATTTACAGATAACAGAAGCAAGATTTAGAAACATAGAGAAAATTAGTAAATAATTTGGTTGTTTTCTTTTGAACTAACCATCATCTGAATCTGGCTTTGTCCTTTCAGGAGATTTGAATCGTTCCCTAAGCAAGAGCACAAAGGCCACATTAGGTACAGTGCAGTTAAAAACTTTCAATAAGTTAGTTAAAATGGTAAAATAACCAATGTAAGCCTTTTAAACATGTACTTACAACTCAGCAGGGTCTTGAAAGTTATGCTTTGATCTGGAGGAAAAAAATTGCAAGAAAAGCATTTAACTACAGCGAGTGCTTTGGGAAAACAACGAAAGAAATCAAACTAATCAACTACAATCTTTACTACAATCGACTTCAAACTCTGTATTAGTGTGTCACAAACAAGCTTTGTCAAACAAGTGGTGCCATTTTACTAAAATATTTTAAGATGCAAAAATGAAAAGTCTTACTTGGCTGATTTTAAGGTTTCATCTGCCCAACCACCAGTTCGTCTTGATCTTGGAGGTGCAACTGGGACTGATGACTAAAAATAAATATGTGTCAGAAGAATGTTACAAAATTGAAACAAGAGCACATCAAAAATATTTCATTAAACCTTAACAGGTGACGATGGACCAGAGAGAGAACTGTCCAAGAGGTCTTCTGTCGACCCATTGGCATCAAATGAGTTTGAGGTAGGAATACTTGGAGCAGCTCTGCGACCTTTTCTTGCTGGAGCCTGAAATAAAATTGTTCAGTTATTGTTCTTCGCATAAAACGTCCATTCATTTGCCAGAGAAACGGACATGAAAAATGTATTGAATGTCGTGATACGATAAGGTATAAAAATCTTTCTGAATTTTAAGGAAAATAGCAATATCATAACTTAAAAAGCTGCTGGTATCGATCAGAGCGGCCGAAAAGCGCAAGGAAATCAATGAAAACACTTAAGCATGCTTAAGTACCTTTTGAGTCTTGGCATAGTTCAAGTCCTCGTCCTCCATGGTAGGAGCCTGCAGGTGTCCGAGCTACTTTAAGACTGCGTCCGGGATCTTGACAAGCCTGCAGGGAAGAAGGGCGGAAAAACATAAACAGTCGTCTCCATGGAAATGCCTGAATGACACTTGTTGCAAAGAAGGGGAAGGGGTGGGGACGCAAGGAAAATGTCTGATGTAGAGTGTTTCGATCGTGAGTAGCAGCCGACTTGGTGTTCCAGCTAACATTCCTGTTAAACTACGGTGATTGAAGTTTTCAAGAGGCGCGATACGTATCACATAAGCACTTTTCTCGACAAGAAACACAGCAAATGGTGTCACAATCGTAAACAAGTTCGAAATGTCAAAACGCCGCGCTGTCATCAATTGCGGTCTCCAAGGGGCCGTGCCTCGTTCTCACCTCAGTTTGCGTCTGACGTCACTCCAGCGGGTCCGCCAGCCGAGGAGTGCAGTAGTGTGTGTACATCGTCCGACGTTAAAACTTGCCTCCGCAGGCTGCAATGAGTACTTAAGGATACCGTAGTGTTTTCGTTCGCTTTGCTTACTATGAATTCGAAATTACGTGCCCGAACAGTGTGAAGTGTGAATGTGTTCGCCATGTCGAGGATATCCAAAGCATCAGTCGCCAAAGTTGACAGTAACCAAGTGGAGGTGAAGAGCAAGGTGGGTTAGGGCCGTCTTAGAAGGCCTAACTAATATGCAATTAGAGACTCGGCTTCACCTTACTTACCTTTGTCCAAGGTGACTTTGTTTGGACCTTGGTTTCCTTTGACATCTCTCAGATTTGTTCCCATATTTCTATTTTCTGTCTTACTCGTCCAACTAAAGTTTTGTAGGTTTGCTGGCCGAGAATCCAGACCTCGAACCGGCCAAGCTTTTTTTTTTTGTACCCTTTCATTGAAAATTTATTTTTCAAAAACCAGACTTGACAAAAAATATTAATTCGGAATCACTCTGGTCATTAGGAATAAAAGTATTCTATTTAAGGGCACATTATTTTCCAAGGGCCTATGTGTTTACCTGGTTGTCCTAACCTTAAATTTAGAGTTTAATGCTACCTGTTATTTGTTGATGTTTCTAGGTAAAACTTGAGAATTGGAATTACATTTCAGTATTTTTAAAATTCCTGGTAGTTTTGATGTGGTGAATATATAAAGTAATTAAAATATTAGCTCTCCATTGTTTCATTTTTACTTATCTACAGTAATTATAGTGAAATCAGTCGAACTACTACCTTCTCCATTTTTTTCCGCTCATAACTACGTACTGTGGCTGTTTTTGTCATTTCTAAATTCAATCTCAGTCTTTGAGGTCTGTTATGTTTCTTTCTCATAGGAATATAAAGTGAAGTGTTGCTGTGCAAAATTTTCATGGCTTTGTGTGCCATGTTCAACACTTGTTATTAGTATGTAACATTTTTATTTTTTTTCCCATTCTTTCCCAGTTTGATGCTGAGTTTCGTAGATTTTCCATCACAAAAGATGAAGCTAGTCGCTATGAGGACTTCAGAATTCTTGTGGAGAAACTCCACAGGTTGTCAGATGTCCCATTCCTTATCTCATACACGGACCCAAGAGATGGGGACCTTCTCCCTATTAATAACGACGACAACCTAGGAAGAGCTCTCTTAAATGCAAGACCGCTTCTCAGAGTTATCATCCAGAGGAAAGGTAAGTGACTTGTTCTT